TTGCTCACCAATGGATCCTCTGCAGTGAATGGGTGCCGTCAGAATGAGAGTCCAAACAGCTGATAAAAACATCACAATAATCCACAAGTAATCCACACCACTCCAGTCCATTAATTAACATCTTGTGAAGCAAAAAGTAACTTCAAACTGTTGCTTTTGGCTAAAATATGAGTCTGTAATTCATAATATTGCTTCCTCCAGTGAAAAAGCCATCTCGTCTGAATCAGGAGAGAAATATGCACAGATCAAACACCACTTACAACAACAACAAAAAAAAAACATCCCAGAACAATTTTAAATAAACATGTGGGTGAATTTTGGTGTGAGAGGACAATATGGTTCTGACGGCACCCATTCACTGCAGAGGATCCATTGGTGAGCAAGTGACGTAATGCTAAATTTCTCCAAATCTATTCGGAGAAACAAGAATCAAACTCATCTACATCTTGGATGGCCTGAGCATGAGTACGTTTTCAGCAAATAATTCATTTTTGGATGAGCTATTACTTTAACAGCAGCTTATGTGATGTTCTCCACTAGAATCCCCAGGAATCAGCATCGAGGATAATAGCAAAGATTTGTATTTGGATGTATAATTCTGTGTTTGTTTGTCACTATTGAAGTTTATGGAAGCATTGTTCAATTTTGAAGCCATCACTGACACCGACCTTGCGGGTACAAATTGCACTTTGAAACTGATTGGCAGAAAACAGACATCTTTGCTGGTGTATTGTGTTAGAAGACATTCCAGCTAAAACGATTGGTGTTTTGGAACTACATGATGACATTTATTGTACTAATTCCTAATGGGGAATGAATTTGGCACAGCACTTTGTGTTTCTTACACAGTTAAAAAGAGATTTAAGGATAAAAACGTAATGGTTGGCCAATACGCTTGGCTTATAGAAGTGGTTCTCAGGTGGTTTTGCTTCAGGACGCCATCAAGTGGTGACTCAAGGTACCAAAAAGTAAACAAAAAATATCCTTAAAAACCGATCATTGAAATGTATTAATATTACCAATAATACATAACATTCACAAACCACCTTCTTACAGCATTTACTCAAAAGACTGTTTGCATTACAGGTATCAGCTCAAGGTTCTCCACACCCAAGTGCTTTTGGAATATTTATTTCAAAATTATTTATTTTAATCATCTAGCTGTGTACATGACAGATCACAACAGTGACAATAAGCTATGCTTCTCAAGGATTTATTCAGATTTATTCTTTTCAGGGTCCCTAAAAAATAAAATTATACACTCCATTGAAATACATATATTGAGCAAACGTGCAATCTAAATTATAGCCTATATTAATCCACTTTTGGACTGCATTTTATGACAGTTAAAAAGAGATTTAAGGATAAAAACGTAATGGTTGGCCAATACGCTTGGCTTATAGAAGTGGTTCTCAGGTGGTTTTGCTTCAGGACGCCATCAAGTGGTGACTCAAGGTACCAAAAAGTAAACAAAAAATATCCTTAAAAACCGATCATTGAAATGTATTAATATTACCAATAATACATAACATTCACAAACCACCTTCTTACAGCATTTACTCAAAAGACTGTTTGCATTACAGGTATCAGCTCAAGGTTCTCCACACCCAAGTGCTTTTGGAATATTTATTTCAAAATTATTTATTTTAATCATCTAGCTGTGTACATGACAGATCACAACAGTGACAATAAGCTATGCTTCTCAAGGATTTATTCAGATTTATTCTTTTCAGGGTCCCTAAAAAATTTAATTATACACTCCATTGAAATACATATAAATTATAGCCTATATTAATCCACTTTTGGACTGCATTTTATGCATTCAAGTACTCATAACTTCTGAAATATTCGCCTCAGGTATTACGGTGTCATGAACAGACCGCAAAAGTCCAAGACAACGTCAATCCCTTCAGCAGTAGAAACAGCCTTTATTCTGCAGTGATTGTCCGTGTAGCAGTAAATAGCCTACATAGGCATATGGTGTGTGACATTTTATTAATACAATATTAGAGTTATAAAATGTGTATTAGATTTATAGGCTTTATTTGTATTTATAGTGTGTGTTGATCTTAATAAAAAATACTTTTTCAAATTGTTTGTGCATTTTCATATACAATACTAATAGTTACTGTTATATTTAATATTTTATTATATCATAATAATTTAAAGAAATATCCCTGCGTCCCAATGTGCATACTATCCACCCTATCTGCCCTAAATAGTATTGAAACTAACTAACATAGATATGACTATCACATAGAATTTAGGATGGATAGTGTGCACATTGGGACGCAGGCTATGTTACTAAATACGGTGCAACGGAAAAATAGATGTATTTTGAGAGAATTTAATTCATAGAGAGAGATTTATTTATTATTTTTTTTATGTTTATGAAGTTTTCCACTTCAATTTAAATACTAAATAAAGTGAGGTTTTCAGAGATATATCTTTTTATAGTTTTTTTTTTATTTATTTTTTTAGTATTTGATGGATCTGTATATAACTATTTGTCACTGTTACTGTTGTTTTATTTGTATATTAATTGGCTATACAGATTTTTTAATCATTTTAATTGTGATAAATGGGTTACATTAGTATTTACAAGACAAACTACAGTACTGTATATTTTAATTCAGTATTGATTTGATTAATAATATAATTATAGTTAATTTAACTGTTTGAAGTCACAATAATAACTTAATAAAGGTAATATAAAAGTAATATAATATTAATTAAAATAATATAATATTGTATATTCTGTAAAATACTGTATATTTTAGTCAATAACCTACTGATTAGATCAATTTAATAACAGGTCTAACAATTACTGTTAATGTACCAACAATTAACTAACAAAAGTTAATAAAACACATTATTATTAAAAACTCAAAAAAATTAACGCGTATACAGTGAACGGACTGTTATGCGGAATTTCATATCCGCAGGCCCTATTCTCTAAACCAACAACGTGCTTTTTATCTGTCTGCGCTGCGCCGGTTACGCACATCCCGTAGCGGTTTCGATAATGGCGTCTGTCACCGAGATGCGCTCGGCTTTGGAAAAATGAAGCGCAGAAGAGCTTATTTCCAGTGATTGACGCGGGGTTTCCATTCGCGGACGGACTTTGCCTCTCTTGCCGCGCGGCAGGTTCAGGTTCCGATCTCAGTCGCGACGCGCAGCCCGAGATGATGAAGTCGAACCAAACGCGCACCTATGATGGAGACGGGTTCAAGAAGCGGGCCGCCTGCCTGTGCTTCAGGAACGACACCGAGCAGGAGGTGAGTCGCGCCGCGCCGCGCCGCCAGAGAACGCGCGATGCGTGCGGTGCGATGCGTCTGTCAGCGCGTCAGCTGGCGGATCTCAAGCCCTTCGGCTGCGCGGTAGCGGCGTGCTATCAGCGGTTAGCCTGTGACTGGTTAGCGGAGCTGGCCTAGCGTTAAACGACGCGACAAGCGATAATCAATGAAGCTGCGCTGAGAACGCGCGACTCGTTGACAGCTTGATAGATTTATCGAAATCCATCTGATCTGAGATCACGTGCTGTATTTACATTTAGTCATTTAGCCGACGCTTTTATCCAAAATGATGACAATCAAAACCAACAAAAGAACAATAATATGCATGTGCTATGACAAGCCTCGGTTAGCCTATGTGCTAAATCTCAAATGAGAGACCTTTAAAGACTTCCTTGCAATAAAGTACTGTGGTGTAACGTTATCATGGTACATCCGATGGTAATACCATGGTCATTTGAAATATGGCGTTTCCATGTTACTTCCATGGTGTCCAAAATACCACGGTACTTTTTTATTTGAGCACCGCTAACAAGTACAATGGTATTCTTTGAAGATATTAGAAATACCATCCCTAAAAACGTACTGTTGGGGGTACCATGGTAATACTATAGTACTTTGAAATATACCATGGTACTGAAATTCACGTGTTTCATGAATATTGAAAACTATATTGTACATGTCTGAAATACCATGGTACTTTTTATTTTGAGCACCGCTAACAAGAAGTACCATGGTATTCTTTGATGATAGGACCATCGCTTACAAAAAAGTAATGTGGCAGTACCATGGTACGAGGTAATAGGCCTACTATAGTACTTTGAAATATACTGTGGTACGTTTTTTTTTTCCCAATGTGGAAACCCATGGTACATCCAAGAAAGCATTTGTTTACATAATTTGAAAGCATAATTAAGGGCCTGGTTTAGCTCCATAAATTCTATGGAGTTCATCAAAGGTGAGGAACAAATCAGGATTTATAAAGGCATCATTTATAATACTATATAAGCCAAATGAGCAATATTTTAACTGCTTTGCTTTGTGATAATTACTTAAAGGAAATGTATTAATTAATTTGAATCGAGTTTCTGAAATAAGCTTTTATTTATTTATTTTTTATTAACAATATTTTTGATTGTTTATGATGTTTTATTTCCACTTCAATTTAGACACTAAATAAAGTGAGGTAATGGATATATTTTGAGAGACATATCTTTTTATAGTGTTTATAATTTTTAGTATTCGATGTATCTGTAACGTTTATAGCTATTTGTTAGTGTTGTTTTATTTGTATGTTATTTGGTTATATGGATTTTTTTCATCATTTTATTAGTGAGAAATGTGTTATATTAGTATTTACATACTACTAGTATTACTTCACAAACTCAAATTACAGTACTGTTGATTAATAATATTTATTCCATGGTCTGTCTGAATACTGGATTCTGATTGGCTGGCAGGTAAAACCGTTTAATGCACAGGTAGTTCCAAGTCAGTTTCATATTAATAATTAAAATTATATTAATGATTTCCTAAAAAAAAATATACATTTATTTATTGATAGATTTTATTGACAATAAATAAATATCAAAGATTTATAAAGATGCATATATTTAGAAACATGCTTTATAAATCATTCATAAAAACATTTCAGAGACTGTTGTACATTTATATTTATTTTGAATTTGTTTTACACAAATCTTTACAAATGAGGCCCCAGAGTTTCACAAAAAATGCTGAAATTACATCTATTGTACCAAACAGTGACACAGACTGAAAACTTGTCAAATGTTTCCTCACAGGTGTTATTGGTGAGCAGCAGCAGATATCCAGACAAATGGATCGTACCTGGAGGAGGAATGGAGCCCGAGGAAGAGCCCAACGTTGCTGCTGCCCGAGAAGTCTGTGAAGAGGTTTGACTTTCACCTCTAGGATTATGCATATTATTTATCATAATCAGCTGTCCATTACAAAAAGCTTCTCACGCCATTTGTAGAAGATATCATTAATTTATCATGAGTTTACATGATTTTCAGTCGATTTTTTGATGGCTAATAATGTGGATAAAATATACACACAATTTCCAATTTAAATGCTCACTCATTTTTGTACAATATTTACTTAAAATAGATTCAGTATCAGTACATTTAGGCTCTAAAACACAACTGATGGACCCGATCATTTTAATATGGCCAAATATCCCCTGATTAATCAGCTGATCACCTCCCACTACTCACTATAATTGATGTTTTGCTGCATATTTTTGACTCGATCCATTGTGCAAACATGGAAACTCTAGGTTTTCTCTCTGCTGACACTTAACCTATGGGGTTTCTCGTAAAGAGAAGTGATAATGTTCCATCAGCTGAGATCCTCCATACGCTCTTACTTTCGCTGGCCATCTGACAGACAGCAAACATGTCGTTCATTCTGCCGGGACGATCGCCTTACAGTTTTAAAGGCCATTACACTCCGATTAAGAGCTGCTCTTCACACCTCCACTGCCAGACAGTAGCTAAGAGCGGCCGTACACTATAAACGTCCCATGACACAACGAAGGAACCGCATATGTGGGATTGTCCTGAAGTCTGAGAGCATATTGAAAAGTTTGTAGATTTCGAAATCTAAATGTAATGTTATGTAACGTTATAAAATAGCAAGGAATATTCTGCATTTCTATGTGACTAATCAAATGTAAATGAAGTAAATGAGTGTTTTTGATCATGTGACTCTTGGTTCACGAAGAAGAATATGATCATCAGGCCATTAAAGCAAAATAAAGCAAACCTAAACTTTCTCAAATTGTTATCCTGATAATGTAATTTGTTATATATGTGGTCAGTAAGTTTTTTTTTTTTAATCCATACATATATATGTATATGTATTTATTTATTTTTTTATGTATTGTTAATTTTTTTAATAATTTTTTTAGAGAGAGAGAGAGATAAATTAAATAAATACTTTTAAATTAGCAAGGATCATTAAATTGACCAAAAGTGACAATTTTAATGTTACAAATAATTTTTATTTATAAGAAAATGCTTTTCTTGGGAAGCAAATCAGCATATTAGAATGATTTCTGAAGGATCATGTGACACTGATGAATGGCGTAATTAATTATTGTGCAAACATGGAAACTCTAGGTTTTCTCTCTGCTGACACTTAACCTATGGGGTTTCTCGTAAAGAGAAGTGATAATGTTCCATCAGCTGAGATCCTCCATACGCTCTTACTTTCGCTGGCCATCTGACAGACAGCAAACATGTCGTTCATTCTGCCGGGACGATCGCCTTACAGTTTTAAAGGCCATTACACTCCGATTAAGAGCTGCTCTTCACACCTCCACTGCCAGACAGTAGCTAAGAGCGGCCGTACACTATAAACGTCCCATGACACAACGAAGGAACCGCATATGTGGGATTGTCCTGAAGTCTGAGAGCATATTGAAAAGTTTGTAGATTTCGAAATCTAAATGTAATGTTATGTAACGTTATAAAATAGCAAGGAATATTCTGCATTTCTATGTGACTAATCAAATGTAAATGAAGTAAATGAGTGTTTTTGATCATGTGACTCTTGGTTCACGAAGAAATGAATGATCATCAGGCCATTAAAGCAAAATAAAGCAAACCTAAACTTTCTCAAATTGTTATCCTGATAATGTAATTTGTTATATATGTGGTCAGTAAGTTTTTTTTTTTAATCCATACATATATATGTATATGTATTTATTTATTTTTTTATGTATTGTTAATTTTTTAAATAATTTTTTTAGAGAGAGAGAGAGATAAATTAAATAAATACTTTTAAATTAGCAAGGATCATTAAATTGACCAAAAGTGACAATTTTAATGTTACAAATAATTTTTATTTATAAGAAAATGCTTTTCTTGGGAAGCAAATCAGCATATTAGAATGATTTCTGAAGGATCATGTGACACTGATGAATGGCGTAATTAATTAGCGGCCCAAAATTCAGCTTTGATCACAAGAATAAATTACATTTTGAAATATATTACAATAGAAAACAGTTTTTTTAAATTGTAATAATATTTCACAATATTACTGTTTTTTTCTGTATTTTCGATCAAATAAATGCAGTCTTGATGAGCAGAAGAAACAAAAAAAATCTAAATCTCACAGACCCCATGCTTTTTAATGGTAGTGCATATTAAATTTAACATTTTCACTAGTGGCCTCAGGCTTTTGGACCACCGCTATATAATCAGGACTAAATTTAGACCATGTTTGATGACAATCAGCTACTCAAGTTGAGGTCAGCGCCATATTGTGTACATGACATTTGGCCTAAACCGCGTCATGATGGATCGCTATCACTCAGGACGGGTGTAGACTGTCACAGACTGAAGAATGCCTTCATGTTCCTGTTGATATACTGTCCTGCTTGTTTTCACAACTACTCTTTTCTTGGACTCCGAAAACATATCAGTTGTCAAATTCTCACTTACTAATTAATGCATCAGTCATTGGTTCTGCATTGATGACAAACTGAAGGACCTGATCATGTAGCAATGACTGTCTCTTTAAAATAATAATAAAAATAATAATAATAATAGAAACACAATGATTTAGTTTCGTTCATTCGTTGTTTTACAGGCTGGTGTCAAGGGCACTTTAGGAAGACTAGTAGGAATATTTGAGGTAAGTACTTTAAGAAAGAATGGCTTTCTGTAAAAGTGTTGTATAAGTGTTGTGCTGCTTGTCTTAAAGTGCCCCTATTATGGGTAATGAAAAGTTCATATTTTGGTTTTGGGAGTCCCCAACAACAGGTTGACATGCATGCAAGGTCAAAAAACACTTTCATTGTCTTATAGTATGCATGTATTTTTACCTTACTCGCAGAGACAATAACTTTATACACGGCACACTTTCAGATTTAAAACTTTGCAGGATGTTTTCATTCACTTAGAGCTGTTACACACTGCATGAAAGGTCATTTTCAAAAATCCATAATAGGGGCACTTTAACCATTTTAAATAACATTTTGTTTTATATTTAGAATCGAGATAGGAAACACAGAACGTACGTCTACGTTCTCATCGTAACTGAAGTTCTAGAAGATTGGGAGGATTCAGTAAACATTGGTAAGTACTTTAGAATAATACACTACAGTATAAAAGTTTGGATTTTTTATTGTTTATTTGCAATGGCTTATCTCATCAAAATGTGACTAAATTCTAATTAATATCAGAATATTCTTGTCAGAGCCATTGTGGGATTAGCAAGTGTGAAAAATCTAATGTTTTGTGATTGGCGAATGTACAATTGTCTTCTGAGTAGTGTTGTTTTTGGCGGCCTGTTTTAATTTTAGTTTTAGTCTAGTCTTTGTGTGAAACTGTCATTTTAGTTTTTATTAGTTCAGTCACGTTCATATTCTTTTTAGTCTAGTGAAGT